GAAACTGATAATTGATTCCGGTTATTTCAAATTTGCGGCATGCGTACATTGAGGGAAAATGATTTTTTTTTTAAATTCACAAAATTGTCAATTATGCAGTTATTTTATTTCACAGCAAAATGTGTAAAGGCCTAGATTGAGAATTATCATATTTATAAAAATAAGGAGATTTAGTATGATTGCCAATGAGACAACTATACACTTAAGTTCAAATGAAGTGGATGTATAAAGCAATTATAAACAACCGTACGGCCTTTAACAACGAGAAAAACCCATACCATATATATATATAGTCGGCTATAAAAGGCCCCGACATGAAAAATATGAAACAATTCAATTGAGAATACTAACGGCCTAATTCATAACAAAACTACGACAACCACTGACCTATAGGCTCCTGACTTGGGACAGCCTGGGACAGTGGTGTCACGGCACAACATAAGAACAAACTATGAAAATCAGTTGAAAAGGACTAACTAATCAAATCGATACAAAGCAGAAAAAACATATAAAAAAAACACAGACCGGTCGTGGCAAGGAATTTATACATCCCTCACACACAAAAAAAGACACACAGTACAGATCTGAGAGTATCGAATTACTGACAGCTAGTTCAAAACCAATAACAAATAATAAAAAAATCATGTGTTTAAAACTGTTTATCAAATTAAGGAACACAGATATATGTACTTATATCAGTATAAATACTGATATAAGGGATTGTTCGTTCGAATTTTTTATATTAAAATTTAAAAATTTGGACTGGTCCGTGACAGGGAAATATTGACATGATGGATTGGTGAACAAATTTCATCTTGCAAATGGACAATTACGGGTCCCTAAAAGAGTTGATAAAGGATGCTTCAACTTTCAGAGAGAATGACACTTTCATTTTTGTCGGATTTACCGTCGCAATCTCGGCAAGGTTGTGCATGCGTATTTATATATTTATTCACCTAACTCATCCTTGCGAGTGGGTCCTACCCGGTCCTACACAGAGAAACTTATTTCTATACCCTGGGATACCCTCCCGTGAATATGGTTTTTAGTCCACCTGCTGCCTACCTACCACCTCCCAATAACCTCTATTTTGTTAGACGTTCCGGACCTCTCCCGGGAAAGGAGTATCTGGATCCGTCCCTGATAGAATGTGTTTTTTTTTCATATAACAATAGAAGTAATAAGAGCTCTTTGAAAAACCTTCGTGCTTCTCTATATACATCTTTCGATGATATATTATTAATTAACGATTTTTGATGAAAATATAACAAGTTTGACTTATCACCATTTTTGTTGCATACATTTTAAATTAAAAAAAACACCCCTAAACTATTTTCTTCGATAAATGTCAAAACTTTCAAATAACGTGACCAACGAATACCTTAGTACAGACGTTCTGTCAAAATCACGCGACTCTGAATAATTCTAAATAATAAAATATAATTATAGTACTTAACATTTATATTTAAATATAATTCTTGATGGGCCGGAAAACGTTCCTTATCGCAGCCCATCCCTTTAGACATATAGCCTGCAATATCTTAAAGGGTGTTTTCAAAAATAGATACTTTTAATTTCTGTTTATTCTGATTTTAATGTAATAAATATAATACTAATATGACCTATTTTGACCTATAGTTGTATTTCTTTTTACTTATTTGAAAACACGGGTCCCTGTCGAAAATGAAGAACATGATTTTTAGAAATCCAAAGCTTAGTTATATCCCAAATATGCTTTTCAAAAATTTATTCATCCTCAGTAGTGCTTTAATAAAACAAACTATATGAAATCCGAATCAAACCAAACTGACAATAAAAAGCCACTCAAGCCTGCTACGAAATCCAAGTGCTTTTAAGATTTTAACAACTTATTTATTGTATTTAAGAAATGGCTGATATGAATATGCTATCATTTGTTATTAAAAAAGGACAATAACTACCAAATATATATAAGATAAGAACAGAACATAGCAAGGGGACAATCAAAACTAGAAGTCGAAGAAAAACAGACAATATCATGGTGGGTAGAAAAAAAGACGAAGAGACAAATGAACAGTCAACAAAACACTTAACACAAAAAAACAAAAAACAAAACAAAAACCGATTGAGCAACTTGAACACTAAAAAAACAGGGCTTCGGAAGAGTAAGCAGTTCTTGCTTCAGTAATGTCATCAGTCGTGTTTCTCATGGCAAGTAAAATAAATATTGATTTATATTATACTGGAGTGACCTATGACAAAACCTCAAGTCAGAATTGTGGTATGGGTTCTCCCGCCATCTTGGATTGTAAAATAGCAGAACACAATAGATAAAGAATTTTAATTAGGTCAGCAAATTTCGATGCAAGAATCAAACTTTCAAATAGAAATTTTCATTTAAATGAAAACAATTATGTGATCTTATGTTATTGTCACTAATCTTTTTACCAAAGCAGAATATTTTTGCTTGATTTCAAAGTTTTTAAACTTTGCGTAATAAGGGGAGGTAACTCAGAAAAAGTAACATTTATAAAGGAATCTTCAGGATTTTTTTTCTATTTTATGTTATATTAGGAAAAAAACGTACGGTTATCATATTTTTTCTTTTAATATTCCGAAAGCATTTAGTAAGAGCTATCTTCTCAATTCTATCATTAAGTTTACCTTCTATTCACATTATGAAGCCTTTTCTATGACTAATCCATGCAAAATGTGTCATTTTTTCACAATTTGAGCTTGAAGACAAGCTCGGTGACCTATAATTTTTGTTATATTTTTAAACCTGTAAAAATATATACTTCATTTTGGCAAAGTATGAAAAAATTCGACCATTTTTGTTTAAATTCCCATACCACCTTAATATTGAAATCAGGACACTCCAGTATAATATAATTGTTTAACTTATTCTGGCTTCACAGAGGATATGGGCTCATATTTCTTCCTAATAACATATACCATGTTATATGTCCTTGCAATTTTCGGAAAGCACTGCTAGAACATGAGTTTTCTGAAACTGTTGTTAATAATCACAATATGATAGATTCAAAACATATCGTAAGGAAAATACTATTTCTTAAAATTGAGATAAATCCCCCTTTTGCTTTTATGTACATTTTTTCAACTTAAGAACAGCACGGCCTCATTGTATTTTCCTGTCTATAAGTTGCTTTATCCAAGTGGCCATCATAATCAATGCGTCTTCCTGGTTAAAAGGTCTACCAATCCAGGACGTTCTCATACTATAAAAGATAGGACCACCAGTATAGACTAACACTACTAGTGGATTGTTATTTGATGAGTAATTAAAAAAGTAAGTGTTTTTTTTTCTGTAATTTAGATCTAGCAATCAGTAATAAAATAAAAGAGCAACATTATTTTAACGTTCTTAATAAATGTTGTTGCATTGCCAAACACGCTGACGCCAAAAAATCTAATCAATCATAGTTTGTTAAATAAACGTTTTCGCATTAGAGATTGCATCAAATTTCAATTCAATATTTTATCTAAGTCTCATCTCTCAATAATATATATATTATAACATTACATTAAGTGTAAAAATAGATATGAAATACAGAGCCATTCTGTACATCAATAAATACTGAAGTAGAAATAGCCACCAAAAAATTAAGCATTTTACTAGAAGTTTATTCGAGACACAAGTTTTCTAAATATATTGAAAAATATAAGGTAACTTTTGCAACCTAGTTGAAAGCTCTAAGTGGGAAAACTCCAGAACGGTTCAAAAATATTCAAGAATAAGTTGACAATGCTAGCAGCGAATATCCTTACACCAAGTTAAGCACTAGTTAAAACAGTAATAAACTAAATTAGACAAGCTTATTTAATTTATCCCGTAAAACAAGTTTAAATAATGGCACCCAACTGACAGTACTTTTACTGTATAAAGGATCAGAGCAATTTTACAGAGATCCATTGAAAAGTAACTTGTTACAGGCAGGGATCCATTGTACAGTAACTTGTTACAGGCAGGGATCCATTGTACAGTAACTTGTTACAGACAGGGATCCATTGTACAGTAACTTGTTACAGATAGGATCCCTTGTACAGTAACTTGTTACAGACAGGGATCATTGTTCTGTAACTTGTTACAGACAGGGATCCCTTGTACAGTAACTTGTTACAGATAGGATCCCTTGTACAGTAACTTGTTACAGACAGGGATCATTGTACTGTAACTTGTTACAGACAGGAATCCCTTGTACAGTAACTTGTTACAAACAGGGATCCCTTGTACAGTAACTTGTGACAGGCAGGGATCCATTGTACAGTCACTTGTTACAGACAGGGATCATTGAACTGTAACTTGTTACAGACAGGGATCCCTTGTACAGTAACTTGTTACAGACAGGGATCCCTTGTACAGTAACTTGTGACAGGCAGGGATCCATTGTACAGTCACTTGTTACAGACAGGGATCATTGAACTGTAACTTGTTACAGACAGGGATCCCTTGTACAGTAACTTGTTACAGACAGGGATCCCTTGTACAGTAACTTGTGACAGGCAGGGATCCATTGTACAGTCACTTGTTACAGACAGGGATCCATTGTACAGTATCTTGTTACAGACAGGGATCCATTGTACAGTAACTTGTTATAGACGCAAGATGACAGTTCAGGATTCTGATATTGTTTAAGCACCTTATTATGGACCAAGAATAGAATAAAAAAAACACGGATTCACACTTTTTTAATTGGGCGCATCTCGGGAATTATATATGTGGATGTAGAACTTTTTCAATAATCAGATGCAGTACAATGAGTAATTAATGGATACCAAATTTCATCAAAACACAAAAATATCGCACAATACATACACTTCGCTTGTATAAAATGGAAAATATTAATATAACATAAGGAGATATGATTACAATCGTCAAATACATAAAGGACATATACATCTTGTTTCTTAAAAAGTTAAAATAACCGATAAAAAAGAGGGGAGGGGGGGTTATTACTATTGATAATTAAAATTACAATACCATTTCACCCTAGATGCTGCTGAATCTGATCCGTACCATTGCCGTTTGTCTGATTGTGTTGTTTCACGTTAGCGAAGGATGTTTTAGATATGACTTTAATGAACGACAATCAGTCCATGGCACATTGGATTTTCCCGGTGGAAACAACTATGAAGTTGGTGTGGGATTGAATTATCGATTCAAACGACATACACAGGTAAAATCAAGGGAAGATATATATACCAAAACAAGCATTTAGAGTTCAGCATACGTCTTCAAAAATAAACAGCAAGCTGTAAATCGCCAAGAGTCTATATAAATTATGAATAGATTAATTTAAAAGAGAAAATGAAAAATCTGTCAATTTGACAACAACTAAATCTAAACGCGGAATAATTGTAAGTTATATTTGCATGAACAGAATGTAATACAGAACACACACTGACACACTGAAAATATATAAATGAGACCAAACAGGCTTCATAAAATGAAATGAGGAACATACATACCTCCATGATATAACACCTCTCCCCCTTAAAACGACACCTTAAGGTCAACATGCGACCTTCAAAAATTAACAAGTGCAAGCAAGGATCTGGTATCAACACTTGTTAATTTATCTAAATGATAGTGTATGGTCCTCTAAATTCTAAATTGTGATTCCTCTTTCAACACACATTCTAGTTGTTACCTTCTTCATGTTATTGACTTAATTTGTCGGATATATTTACATTTATTTAATTTGAAAATAATTAACAACTGAAGAAATAATAATGATCGAAAATCGCAAATTCCCTTTTTTATCGACGCAAAAAAAAAGTGTGAAAGAATATACCTTTTAATCTTTTCCGGTATTATTTCAGAAGTAATATGTTAAGTCTTTTTTAGTGCGCCTTCAGAATATTGTGCCTATTGGATATTGGATCGGGATAACGGCCGATGAAATATAAACATAAAAGTTTGAAAAATCTAGAGTTAAAAAAAACTGTTCATGCAAAATGGCTTTGAAATTATATAATATTACACACATTATTTCTCTCTATGTATATTTTTAATTTCTTGACGTGCTTTTGTCTCATTTCAATAAAAAAAAAATTCAGCATGAAAATAATTTTGAAAATGTAATTCGGATCTTAAGTAAAATTCATCTCTCCTGCTTCACTGAAGATCCAAAACATAATCCACTTCTCATTGGAACCAAACAGTCGTTTACGTATAATTCCGAAGCTTTCATATACCGCTTTTTGGAGATTGCCGTCTTAATCTGCAATATGGCCCTCAGCGCCATAAACTGAATTCTTGTTTCGTAACAGTTCACTAGAAAATTGACTAAAATGAGTTCATGTATAATGCAGACATTCGCTATTGATTTCTGAACATAACAAGACAACTCTGCACTCGAGGGGTGAAAAGTGGGGTGGGCGTACCAATAATTCATCTAACGTCAAGGGACAACATGATTTGTAAATTACACAGTTTCTTTCATTATTTGCATGTAGAAAAACAAATTAACAATTAAAATATGTAAAATATTGCAAATCTTTCTATAAATTTAGGACCACCAGAAGTTTCATGTAGAGATATATTATAAAGGTATTTCGGGACACGACACGCCACTTGACCCATGTGTATTCAATCGGTATGACTTGGATGTCAAAGGTTACGTTACAGAAGGGGATTTGGAGAAGATATTTGTTTATTTCGGTGATGACGTCAACACACCTAAAATTCTTCACAACTTTTTTACAGAACTTGACATTGATGAAGGTTTGTTAAAGAGTTGTCTTTAGGTTGCTTAGCAAATGGCTAATTATTTCTGAACTCCGAAACAATGGTAAAGTTGTCTCATGATTCTTCGCTACATTGACTAATCAAAATTTAGCAAAGCAACGTCAGCGCTGCTTCGGAGTTTGAATTATTTCATAGGGTTCATTTACAAGCAAAAGGCATTTCACTCTCCAAACACCGAACATGCATCGAAGTTAACGTCCGAATTCTGACCAAACGTGGCTGTGTATTTATACATCCAGCACAGATAAACAGCCGACACCTCAATTAAGTCTTGTTGGGAGAAGATCAAGTATCAATATTTCTTAACCCCAGTCAACCCTGGATATTTTACTTTTTGTCAGATAATCGGAATCCTGTAGTTGAATCAATGTAGTGTCAATAAAAAGTTTGCCCGCTAACCCCTACTTTTCTTTTCCTAATTGTATTACATATAGTTTAAAAATCCATTTTTGAAAATCTTATAAAATCCTTGTTATTTTTTCATAGTTTTTGAAAAATGTGCCAATGTTAAATGCATGAAAAATGTAGAGAGAATCATTTCCCGCCAAATTTTCAATTGATTATATCTCAAAAACAAGGACACTGACCTTTCATTTTTTTCTGCTTTTAAGTTGTTTTATTTATGTACTATCAATTAATTACAGTCTTTTAAATTTAAAGCTTGTTATTTTGAAACAGAGGAGCGAAAATCCTTCAGGCGTCTTTGTCCGGCTGGAAAATATTTTCATCTGTATTGGTCATAAAGTTTTATTCGACAAGAACGTAAAAAATAGTTAACATTTTGGGGTTAAGCGCCCAATCACTATTTTTGTTCTAAAAACTATTTTCCCTTGAACTTTTGATGTAACAGTGTTTTTTTTTTGTACATACTTGTAGACAAAATGGTAACAAAAGAGGAATTCGACATAAAGAAGAACGATGTCATCACCAAAGAAAGCTGCAATATAATAAAGTACATAGATGCAATGAAAGCTGAACAGAACATGACATTGTTGAAATGATTTTGACTGTTTAAATTGATGTCAATATTTTGTCCTCTTGCTCAGATCTTATAGCTAATGAAAAGTCAATATTTTGCCCTCTTGCTCAGATCTTATAGCTAATGAAAATTGCTCTAACAAAACAATGCACTGAAATGCAAATGGTTCAAATAGTGATATGAACGCTTCGATTATATAATTGCATTGCCTTGCATTTCACTTAACGTATTTAATTTTGTATTCTTTTTTCTGCTTTCGGCAATTTATATTTTCATCAAACTTATATTGTATTGTCTTTTCTCACTATATTCAACTTGACAGAGCATGCCTCAAATTAGCATTTCTTACACCTGTATGTCATTAATTTTTTTCTATAGACCAATTCAAATATTAAACTTTCATTTGAATTATTATTGTTTCATTTTATGCATCTGCATTTTAGTGCAAATTAGAATGTGGACTTGTATTAACAACATACGAAAAATGTACGTTAAAATTATTTGTGGAAAGGGCAATGTTTGGGTGAAATATGAGGTCTTTAGAGAAAAAATACTAAAAACTTGACATGAAGGAAAACTGTGATTTATAGTTACATCTTAAGAATATAAACTGGATGAAGACATAACAATTATCTTGTGTATATATTGTGTGTTCCGCTTGTAATAAGTGTGATCATTAAGACAATTTTGGGGTGAAAGATGTGTGTTTTAACCTGTCAAAAAAAAATGACCCCAGCAGTATACAGACCACATTATACACAACTAAAGACGGAGCAACATGAACTCCACCAGAAAGCGATGGGGGATCTCGGGTGCTCCGGAAGGGTAAGCAGATCCTGCTCCACATATGGCACCCGTCGTGCCAACCCGGTGATAAGTCCAATTCTTTAGGTCACATTCGGGGGAAAAGGAGGACGGGATCCTGCTTACGATGATTTGAACATATCCGTCGTCATTTGTGAAACAGATATTCCATAACGGTCAACCAACTCGTGATGGCGTCCGTAAAATTTTCGAAGGGATGATTTCAACTTCACCACTTGGAACTCTTGGTTTAATATCTTCCTTGTGAGCAGCAACCCTCTATCAGGGAAGTAATGATAGGATTCTCAAGCCCCGGAATATCGTATCAACTGGGAGATACATACTCCATATGCAGGCGCTGTTGGAATGTTGCTACATAGAAATTAAAAGTTCACAATTTAGAAGCTGAAATCATCTCTTTTGTCGTAAAGTTTTGTTCTCAACCGACCCTCATTGTCAATTTCTAGTTTGAAGTCAAGATATAAGGCCGACTTAACTGTATCTGTTGTATCATTTATTTCAAGGTTCGATGAGATGGAAGCGTTTAACATAGTCACTAAACTTTGAATTATTTAGTGAGTGGACATCATCTATATAGCGGAAGTGAAGTTAACATTCTGTAAGAATGGACAGAGAAAAATAATTTACGCAGTTTACGATATGACCATCATGCAATTTACATTTCAGATAAAATGTACTAACCATTTTTAAACTTTAGAGATTGTAAAAATTTTATATTATATAATAAAGATAGATGAACCACACGCGATTTGGTTAGTCCTCTTCATCGATCTTGACAATGATAAATCATAAGTACTTTCATTAACAAGTGTATACTTTTACACCAAAGATAGTCTAATTAATGTCTTATCAACGAATTATATCCATTTTAAGATGATATAATTTTTAATTTCATGACCGATCGATATGTACATCGTAAATACAAGTTCTTTTTCTCTTTTTTTATTCTAACATAATTTTCACCTGGATATTGAGAAAAAATAACGCATATATATTTTAAATACAACGAGCCTGCAAATAGGGTGGATATCCTAGAGAATAAGAAAAATTAAATCATAGCTATGTATTGTATAATTTTCACTATGTGATTAATGTTTATTTCTATGAAAAGTAAATGGAAATACATTTTTGAAAAAAAAAACTTTTTGTGGTCTATCACCCAGAGAACGATCGTGCAGCCATCTTTGCATGTAGAATTAGAAATCATAAAACTACAACAATGAGGCGCTAATAAAACAATTCTAAATCGAAATGGATTTGCAGTAATAATATATTGCGTTTACTAACAATATGACCCCTCCCCAAAAAAATTAAAAAAAATCAAAAAAATCTTCAAATCTTTTTACATTGTTTCCGACAAAACAGCTGCTTATATTCTATGTGACAAAGTTGAGGTTAAGCATCTATTAAATTGATTGGTTCGTGCAACCGTGAAATTGATTCATAAATACAACCAAAAAACTATTCAATTTGAAAGAATACTTTAATTTGATTTTTTTAACTTCATTTCTACATAAAATGATGATATATAAATATTATAGCTAATGCAAACTGCTCTCACAAACAACGCACTGAATTCCAAATGGTTCAAATATTGATATGAACGCTTCGATTATAGTTGCATTGCCTTGCATTTCACTTTATTTATTTAATTTTATATCTTTTTTTTCTTACGGCAATTTATATTTTCATCAAACTTATATTGTATTGTCTTTTCTCACTATATTCAACTTGACAGAGCATGCCTCAAATTAGCATTTCTTACACCTGTATGTCATTAATTTTTTTCTATAGACCAATTCAAATATTAAACATTCATCTGAATTATATTATTGTTTCTTTTTATGCATCTGCATTTTAGTGCAAATTAGAATGTGGACTTGTATTAACAACATACGAAAAATGTACGTTAAAATTATTTGTGGAAAGGGCAATGTTTGGGTGAAATATGAGGTCTTTAGAGAAAAAATACTAAAAACTTGACATGAAGGAAAACTGTGATTTATAGTTACATCTTAAGAATATAAACTGGATGAAGACATAACAATTATCTTGTGCATATATTGTGTGTTCCGCTTGTAATAAGTGTGATCATTAAAACAAATTTGGGGCGAAAGATGTGCGTTTTAACCTGTCAAAAAAAACAAAACAACCCCAGCAGTATACAGAACACATTATACACAACTAAAGACGGAGCAACACGAACTCCACCAGAAACCGATGGGGGATCTCGGGTGCTCCGGAAGGGTAAGCAGATCCTGCTCCACATGTGGCACCCGTCGTGCAAACCCGGTGATAAGTCCAATTCTTTAGGTCACATTCGGGGGAAAAGGAGGACGGGATCCTGTTACGACGATTGGAACATATCCGTCTTCATTTGTGAAACAGATATTCCATAACGGTCAACCAACTCGTGATGACGTCCGTAAAATTTTCGAAGTGATGATTTCAACTTCGTCACTTGGAACTCTTGGTTTAATATCTTCCTTGTGAGCAGAACCCTCTATCAGGGAAGTAATGATAGGATTCTCAAGCCCCGGAATATCGTATCAACTGGGAGATACATACTCCATATGCAGGCGCGGCTGGAATGTTGCTACATAGAAATGAAAAGTTCACAATTTAGAAGCTGAAATCATCACTTTTGTCGTAAAATGTTGTTCTCAACCGACCCTCATTGTCAATTTCTAGTTTGAAGTCAAGATATAAGGCCGACTTATCTATATCTGTTTTATCATTTATTTCAAGTACGATGAGATAGAAGCGTTCAACATAGTCACTAAACTTTGAATTATTTAGTGAGTGGACATCATCTATATAGTGGAAGTGAAGTTAACATTCTGTAAGAATGAACAAAGAGAAATAATTTACGCAGTTTACGATATGACAATCATGCAATTTACATTTCAGATAAAATGTACTAACCATTTTTAAACTTTAGAGATTTTAAAAATTTTAAATAATATTATAAAAAAAGATGAACCACACGCGATTTGGTTAGTCCTCTTCATCGATTTTGACAATGATAAATCATAAAAACTTTCATTAAGAAGTGTATACTTTTACACCAAAGATAGTCTAATTAATGTCTTATCAACGAATTATATCCATTTTAAGATGATATAATTTTTAATTTCATCGCCGATCGATATGTACATCGTAAATACAAGTTCTTTTTCTTTTTATTTATTCTAACATAATTTTAACTTGGATATTGAGAAAAAAACCCGCAAATATTGAATGCACCGACCCTGCAAATAGGATGGATATCCTAGAAGATAAAAAAATTAAACAATAGCTATGTATTGTATAATTTTCACTATGTCATTAATGTTTATTTCTATGAAAAGTAAATGGAAATAAATTTTGGAAAAAAAATTTTTGTGGTCTATCGCCCAGAGAACGATCATGCAGCCATATTTGCATGTAAAAATAGAAACATAAAACCGTAACAATGAGGCGCTTATAAAACAATTCTAAATCGAAAAGTGTTTGCAGTAATAATATATTGCGTTTACTAACACTATAACCCCCCTCCAAAAAAAAATAAAAATAAAAAAATCTTCAAATCTTTTTATATTGTTTCCGACAAAACAGCTGCTTATATTCTATGTGACAAAGTTGAGGTTGAACATCTATTAAATTGATTAGTTCTTGCATTCATGAAATTGTATCATAAATACAACCAAAAAAACTATTCAATTTGAAAGAATATTTTAATTTGATTTTAACTACATTTCTACACAAAAATGATGATATATAATAATTTATAAACATTAGCAAGGGCTTCAAAGGCTCGATACATTCCTTTATTTAATTCATTGTCTTTAATATAAGTAATTTATGTGTTTCATCCTCATATAGCTCAATATTTTTGCAGTAAAATAAAGGATGCCTCCTTAATTTGTAAACCTACTACATAAAAACGAAGAAGAAGAAAAACATGTGTTTAAAACAATTTCCTGATTCTCTTTAACGTTTCAATTAATGATAAGTATAACATAATTGCTTATCGTTTAATCTTTTATAGCTTATAACTATACAGTTTATGTTTTGCTCATTAATGAAGGCAATCCGCTGACCCAATGGTTTACTTACACTCAACCGATTCCGTTCCTCCATCCAATAGAAGATATTATAGAGAATAGGAGAGTAACGGATACATTCGAAGATTGAGAAACTTCGCAACCCCCGCAACCCCCCCCGATAAAAAAGGGAAGTTTGTTATAGCAAAGTTAAAATCTTCTCCTTTGAGGCACTTTCCGATACAGTTAAGTCTAAAACAGGAGACTGTATTGACAAGTATTATTAACTTTATTAAGCTGATGCTCTTTTGGATAAATAGATATCGCATTTAAAATAAACTCAGAATTATCAACAGTAAGTTAATCATCAAAGTATGGCTATGATTGTAACAAATGTCCATTCCTTTTTTTCGGAATTTTCAAATTTCTATTTCTGAAGTTTTCCCGTGAAATAAAATTCATAACAGTAAAGAAAAAGGTCTTCAATAAGAGGTGCGCAGTTAAAACACTTTGGAATTCAGATAGTTTGATCAAATAATCTTGCCTCAACAAACAAAAATATTGCTACTGGCTATAATTGATCTGCTTTATTAAATACCATTTACACGATTTAATTAGTTTACCAACTTTTCTTTATCAGATTATGTTGAAGAGTAAGGTATGGTGTAGACACACTATAACTGTCCACTGAGTTCACTGCGTGAGTTTTTCTAAGACTCACAAGAGTTTTTCATACTAAAAAATACTAGATATCTGTGTTTTATAGAATATATTGAAATTTGGAATAATGAGAATTTTTATGGAAGTAGTAGCACTTGTTATAAATACGAATGTCTTAGAAGTAGTTCATTTGATAGAAGCTGGTATAAAGCGGAATTCATAAATGTTATTTGTAGCTTAGGTAACCAATACAAATTCGGGACACAATGATAATGACTTACGCTTTAAGGTGTTTAGTTCCGGTTTATTAGTTTTCTAATAGGTATGTGTTATAAATAGGTCTTGACAACAGCTAAAATAATTAGAATTTCACCCTGTAAGATGTCGATGTAATACTTACCTCAAATATACACAACTAGAACAAACAAATTTGTGAATGCTTCCTTGACGTATTTTCTGTCAAATCGATTATAGTGGGAAACTCAAATGCAAAATAAGTTTAATGATAGTGTACATTGAGGGAATACGAAAAAGGTATGTAAAATGAAATAAGGGTGATGAAAAGCAAAGACGATATACACATAAAGTGAATACTTTTCTTTTTGAACTAGTTAGAAGATTGAAGATTCACCCAACACAAAAAGCAAAATATTGCCATTAAAACAATCAATCGAAATCAATTTGTCACTTTCATGTTATTCTTTTTTTCAGCACTATTTCCATCTTTGTCTTTTCTTCTCTTGCAGCTTTCTTGACTTATAACATCGTCTCTCATTATGTTAAATTCCTCTTTTGTTACCATGTTGCCTGCAAGTATGTATAAAAAGTAATATTGAATATATGATTATCATATTGTATTACATATTGTAAATGAGACTGTTATAAATGTTACTAATATCCTTACATACAGCATCTGTAAGCAATAATTCTATTACAAATATGTCTATAGGTTGCATTATGTAAATCCCGTGCGATTTGCAAGCCACGCCTCGTAATAAGAAAATCTACATAAAATAAAAGTTACATGTATGTTAATCACAAAGCTTAGTCAAATATACTCAAAGAGAACAATAGCGCTATTGGTTCCCATGAGAGTGCTGATTGTTTGTTGAACAAAATGTCCTCTAAACGTAACAAATACGTTGTCAATCAAGAAATCAAACATCTTGGCAATATCAGTTTCAGACTATTTTTTGGTTGAATCAGTGTGTTTTATTTTTACAAAGAATGATTTACCCTCCCTAAAACAAGACGTTTGTATCTACGTTCGCCATTTTTTTTGACATAGTAAAACCAATTCTTTAAATTTGTCTTTAAGTTTGGAATAGGGAAAACGTGTGTAAAGAGTAGAAAAGTAAAATGTTTCCGTTCTATTGCAAGAGAAATTTAAGAGACTTAGATTGTATGTAATATAACAGATCTTTGGAAATTTTAAGTATCCACATCTGATTCTCACCACCCCTAGAGTAGGAAGTTTCACAATAACTCTGAAGCCCGGCCTTACTTGCTGTTAAAATTAATGTAAATAGTTTAGAAAGACGTTGTTTCGTGGAGCACTTGAAGACCCTGGGATATAACTTTGTTAGGACATTTTTGCATTTAAGGTACTAGTATCCAATAAAATAAAGGAGGAGCCGGTTCCTTTTTTTATTTAATTTTTAATTTTACTTACCTGGCCGCATTGCTCAAAATTGGATTGATTGATTGATTGGTATTTAATGCCACTTTCACCACGATTGCGCCATTTCGTGGAGGTAAGTTTTTTATTGGTGGAGGAAGCTGGAGTGCCTGGAGAGAACCACCGACCGTCGGTAAAAAAACTGACAATCCTAGTCAATTAAGATTAGAGTCGAAGGTACCTGCCACGTGCAGGATTTGAACTCACAATCGCAATATTGGACATGACTGAATCCTCAGTAGAAGCCAAGAAATAAATTGAGTGACTTCAATTTCTTTACTCATTATAATGTATTATTAAAATAAGGAGATGTGGTATGATTGCCAATGAGACAACAATAGGTCACCTCAAGCCTCCAAAAATGCACAAAACAAATAGTAGGCTAGGCAGGTCCCAGTATGAACAAAGTTGAAGAATTCAAACTAGAAAAATCAACCGCCTGATTTAAAACGAAAAACGAATAA